GGACGGAGGGATTAACAGAGGAGCAGAGATAAGAGAATTCCTCGGTGCATTCTGTTTACGCATTTAAAATTCTTTCGTTTATATCGTGTGCGCGATCCGATGTGCAATGAAAAGATGGCTGCAAGAACGAGAGAGAGAGAAAGTTTACAATGTGACACACACGGTTTGAATACTTCAGAAGATGGAGGGGTGAGTCGGAGGTGGCGGAGTCGAAGATGAAATTATTTTAGTGAGTGTAATGGAGAGGATTAGGGCGTTATCCCAACAGAATGACAGCTAAAGTTGAACAGTTTGGAAACGAAGCTAATTAGGACGAGTCAAGATGATTTGGACAGTGGACACTGTGGACGCACTGTGACTGCAGGAGGAAAAGAAAAGGATCTTGGAGAAAATTATTTTATTTGTGAAGGAGGCCACGGGAACGGTTGGCTGCAGCATCAGAGACTGCAGGAGAAAAGCAGGTTATGAGTTCTGGCGACTCAGGAAGGAAGCAGCCAAAAGAAGATCATGATCCACAGTGTGCCAGTTTACACTTTACAGTTTACACTTTACAGGGATCTCTCTCTCTCTATACATATATATATATATATATGTATATATACACATATATATGTATATACGTATATACATATATATGTATATATCTACAATACAAACAAAATATTTTTTCTATTTTATTTGTACTTTTTTGTTTAAAAAAGTATTTTTTAAAAAGTATATATATATATGCACACATACTTTTTAAAAAATACTTTTATATATATGAAAATATATATAAAATGTATATGTGTGTATGTATATAATCATTGTCTATCATTGTATCATTGCATTAACACATTAGTTAGTGCACTTAATTACCGATTCCGATATCAACGATATCGATGTATGGGGCCGTTTTCCCCCAAAATGATGGTTAACGTCTCAGGACCCCACGAACGATTCCAACATATTTGGCGACATAACCCAGGCATTGTGTTATCGTGTTCGATAAAAATAGATAACGATTCTATCTGTCTGCTAATATTATCCCGATGTCAACATAAACCTAAAGACCTATAGAAACCTACAGAGCTACAGAGAAAGGAGTCAGACTGAAGGTAGATGAGAATTCTATTTGTGAAAGCAAAGGTATTCTAATGCCACCACAGTACACAGTACTGATACAGCAGGGAGGGAGGGAGGGAGGGAGGTGTCTTTACACCTGTTCCTATCCTTCAGGTCCACGCAGAGACCAGATCCACCCTTCATGCTGTTTGACCCTGTTTATCACTAACTCTGTGACAACACAGACGATATCTAGGGATGTGTTTTCGCTCACGCAGCATCAAACAGCTAGACAGCTGGCACATCCTATTAACCCCGACTCTAACAAGTTGTCACGCACTGATGTGTCTGTCACCTGCAGTCCAGGCGCTGCAGTGCTATGGCTGCAACATCATCCAGGGACAGAGGTACGTGGACGTGGGCTGCTCCAACCCCGAGGTCATCACCTGCACCCACTCGCACAAGGGCTTCAAACACCGATTCTGCATCAAGACAGAAAGCAGTAAGTACAGTCATTTTCTTCAAATATATATATATATTACATGAACAATAAACTGTATTTTTCCATCTTCTTCCTTTACTTCAGTCTTTAACTCTGTTCGTCTAAACCAGTGGTTCTCAAACTTTTTATATTCTGTATCACCTGAGAGAACACTGACCTATCTGAGTACCACCATGATGACCAACATTAGAATACAGCAGCGTAGGCCTTCACTGTTAGCTATAGCTAGCTAGGTTATAAATGTTTATAAAGGTGTCTATGTTTAAATGTTGTATTAATTGTTCATGGTATGTTTCAGATTTATTCAATTGAAAATGTAAATGTGGAAATATGAATTTTCCCCAAATACCACTAGAGAGCGCTCCACCAGTGGTACCAACCTATGGTAACGGGTACCACAGTTTGAGAACCACTGGTCTAAAACTTTTTGAAGAAGATGTACAGGGCAACAAATTAATAATGAATTTCCCTTGGATTTTAACAATGTTTCTATGGTTTGTCAACATTTATGTTAATGAAATGAATCAGAAGAGACCTATTAAATAAATTAGTCGTCAAAAAGTCAGTCGTCGACTGATGTAAAAGTCAAATGGAGGGTGTAGACCAACACCGGCGGCAGGATGGTCCAGCGGTCATCTGATGGTCAGATGAGGAGTTCTGCTGAGATCCATGGAAGCGTGAACGATCCAGCTGTTGGTCTGACATCTCTGAGGTCTGGTCGTGTTGAAAGAGCTGACGAGGCACCTTTGTCTGTTTGCAGTGAAACAGCCGACTCAGAAAACAGCCGACAACAGCCGTCTGACACAGTCAGATAAACACTTGGAAATTATCTCTACATTAATCTGTCGAACCACGATCAAACACAGAAGAACTGACATCGCTGATTAACTGTCTTCAGATGTACGACCTTCATCTTTAACACCTTAATGTAATAATCGCATAATACGTTATACATAATTACACAATATTAATAAATAAAAAATAAACTTCCATATCATTTACTCCTAGGCCAGTGTTTGCAAAACGTTTCAGCTCTGAAAACCACATTAAAAAAATGGTGTACCACGAAATGTAATGAAATATAATGATCTAATAGTTTCAGTTTGCTCAGAATATGTTCAATTATGGTGCCTGTCACTGTCGAGGTATTTGCGCTGAATACATAATAGTTTTCAGACCATTTGAGCGAAATGTTATATTTTTCCATCGCCCACCTGATAATCTGT